CGAGCCCTGGGTGGTAGTCAACCCGAACGTGCAACCACACTGGTAAGCAGTCTAACAGGAAGTCTAAAAGATGCATCTTAGATTCAGCTCTATCTTTCTAGAAATCCTACCAAAGCAGGAAAACATTCGAGCAGATAAGGAAATCTCTTTCCTTTTTGGACCACATGAGCAGGTAAGTGTCTGATGTGCAGATCTGGTATATATCAGACTCAGTATTGCTTGTAACTCTCCTACCGGTTAGTCTGTCTCAGGCAAATACCAACACTGCTACTCACTGTTGTTGCTGAAAATGGGGCAACTGCCCAGAGAGGGCAAGACTGATAAACACAAGACATTTCCAAATTTCCAACAAAGAGCTACTTAGTATTCCTTTAACAGCATTAAGAGGTCTATAGTGAGTTGTCTGCTTGTCATAACACACGGGACTCTGCTAGGAAGCCATGAGGTAGCTCTCCTGAATTCAAAAAAGCAGTCTTCTTAAAGAGACTATGAGTCTAGCCAGCCCTGTGTCTCTTTAAATGCCCGAATGAGCGATTCCTAAGAGAAGTCAAAGACAGGAGGTAAGCGAAAAGCTGCTGTTATGGTTTTCCTTCTCTACAGTGGTTTCCAAGGTGCAAAAGACAGAGAATTAGACATCCAGTTCTAAGTGAGAGACTTCTCCCTAGCATCCACATGTTATGGGATATTATACTCTGAGTGTTACACATTGAAAGTCCCCCTCAAGACACTAAGGTATATTAACAACAAACACAGAACGGATTAAGTAGAGTCTGACAAAACTAACACCTGCCAGTCCAATAACACATAATCAGACTGGCTTCAAACCAGTCTCACAGGGACGACCTTCAAGGGCAGGTGATGATGAGGGTCTACTCAGCTTGGAATAAGCTTTGCAGTTTGCACAGATGAGCTTCTGAAATCCGTATTTGATGCATCAGCTTCACCTACAGAATTACAGAAGCAGTTACCAGTAGGAATGTGTTAAATTAACAAGACCTAGAGCAAGAGCCTTATTTTCCAGGACTACAAATCAGTGTGCATCTACGCAACATTTACTGTCCAGTTTTCTGAGTATGTATGAACAGTAATCGGGGAAAGTGTTCTCTTTTAACAGGGAAATACAGTTCCTTCAGTAATTAAAGCCTATATTCCAAATTCACAGGCTATCAGGGTGCCCCATGTGAAAAGACATATTTGAATAACGTGTTAAATTTATTCCAGACGATAACACCTGTGATATGGAGCCAGATTACTTGGGGAGCACAGTGTGAGTAACCAGCAACAGCAGCAGAGCTCTTACGACCAACTCACATTTATAGTATTTGTATAGGGTCTGATACACTTGAGGGCAACAGATCTCAGCATCCCCACTTGCAGAGGCAGAGGTCCCATTCTGACAGTCCAACTTGTGGAAGTTCATTTTCAACTCCGGGAAGAAACTCCTGAGCCTGTAATGACTCATCTCTCACTCTCTGAAGTTTTCCCATCAGACACTCACAAGTAGAAAATAATTCACTGGCTTTTATAACTGCCACAGTGGCAGAGAGCTAGAGAAGGACTGGATGTGCTTAGAGGGTTTCTTCTTAAGTTTATATACACCTCAAGTTACTAACTCTCTAATGTGTCAAGCCAGATGAGATGCTATTGATCTATTCTTGCTATTTTTTCTCTAAGAAACAGAGTACCAATGAGCACAGAGATAAATTCAGTGCACCCCAGGCTCAAATTTCCATGTCAGAGTCCTGTTCTTCAGATCACTGAAAGAAGACACGGATTATGTCATTTACTTCACTGCCTGCGCTCTGTTTGCATCTGATTTTAGAATTAACATCTAGAAAGAAGCAAATATTCAAACCTCCTCAAAAAGTTTTTTAAATTATACTTATTTGTCTATAATTTTAGATATATAATCTCTGAAGTTAATCAATTCGCATCAGTAGTATGAACCTAAGTCAGATAATATTGCTGATTTTAGAAAGATTTTATATACTTAAAATCAGCTCTTCGAGAAAAAAAAGTAAATAAGCTCCAATCAGATATAATAAGGCAAAAGTTAGTGGTAATAAAGTCAAACTAACTGCATGTCAGTACAAGCATAACACATATAGATAGTCCCCAAATTTATTATAGTAAATATGCTATATGAGTTATAGACCTGCTACACAACCTCCTATAGAACTAGATGAACTAGTAAGGACTTCAAGTACAGAGAAGTTAGATATGAAGTTAGCTATGTAGTTAAAAGTTAACAGCTATGTTTCTACTTTTCTATCCTATACCTGCTTCTGAAGGTATCTATGTAATTCTTCAACACAAAATAAGTCTCCCTGAAAGTTTTAAGGAATTAAACTTAAAAGATGATTTGAGGATAACTGGCCAAGCCACTTCTGAGGTGGAAGCTACTTGCCAGAAACACTTCCAAGCTTGGTCCAGGGACGTTTATGAGACCTACTGAGGAACAGCAAAAGGGATGATTCTGTGGCTGTGGTCCATGGCCACCTCTTCTCCTGGGGCTGCATTTCCCTGCTGACCATATTCTGCCATATCTGGTTTCTCATTTGATTCTGCAAACAGAATATATACGACCCAGGAAATCCAGGTCCATCCTATAATCTACAGTATTACCACAAACCCCAAGCAAGGCACCCAGAACAGAACAGACATCATGCACTGACATTTGGCACGGCTCGAAGCAGCGGCCGTGCGAAACAGCACGGAAACTTCTGCAAGGTCACTTGGTGCGGGTGTCGACAGGAAACATATCCAGTGTCACACATGGTTTACAGACAGAAAGCGCTTTGCTCCTTGCCTTGCACGTGACAGCTTGGAGAATTACCCCAGACACCAGTAAGTAAATTGCTTTTACCAGCCTAAGCTGGTAAGCACAAAACTCAGTGGGCAAAAGCTGCAAATCGAGTACAGCCCAGCGATCACTATCAGCGGTTTGAAACTGGCCTCAAGCACCGGATCCAGACACCGCTCTGGGAGAAGCAGGAGTCTAACCCTCTTCCCCCACAACGGGGCAACTGCTGCCGTTTTGCTCTGTATCGGCACGGCGCCTGGCCCACTGGCCTCTCGATTCGGCATCAGGAGTCCCATGCACAGACAGGACAGAAATGGGACAGGGAGCGGTAGCAAGCGGAGAGAGCAGGCAGAATTGTTGAGACAAGCACAGGGGGAAAGCAAATGGCACAGAGCTCACTTGTGAATATATAGATAGGCAAATATCCCACTCTCTCGAAAGGGATCGTGCCATCTTCAGACCGGCTCCATGCAGTTACGTGACTGAGCTTGTGCTTTTTTGCTTCAAAGCTTGGAGCCCCTGGAAGAGTCTCCATGAGCTGAATGTCAGCGGAGCAACAACAAGAAAACCAAAAGTGTGTGAACACCTTACTTAACCCAAACCCAGCTTAACTGGTTATTTTCACCTGGAAATGATCACATTTTTTCCTAGTATCAGAACAAAGTATGTCAGGAAAACACCTCATTGTTTCCTTGGAGCAAATAATTATGTTTCACTGATGAATTAACATTTTCCATAGTGGGTTAAAAATAAAGCAAAATAAATAAAATGCTTTAATACTGTAATAACCACAAATCTAGCATTAGTTTTCAGTTCAATCACTAAAGAGAAGATCAGCTGATTATAAATTTAACAAAAGAAGCTTCAGGCATCAGCACTGCCTCTGCGCCCTCAGCAGTGATGTCCCTGGCAGCTTCCTGGCTGAAGCCATCACTACCATTAGCTAATGGTACCAATATATAGGGCTAACTACAGACACCGCTTCTAAACAGCAAACCCACAGCGTCGAGAGGCAGTGAGGCAGACCCTGCTCCTCACTGACCCCTTCGACACACATGGTAGCCCAGAGGAGACGCGGGTACGTACGGAAGAAGAGTTAAGGAAGAAGAGTCCGGGCCGCAGGGAGCGATGGCCACCACACAGCTGCTCCCAGACCTCCAGCAACTGTCTCCAAACTCCTCTTCTGCCCTCTCTTAGAAGCAGGGGTTTAATCAAGCACCATAAAATCTCTAACTCAAACAAGATCTTCCCCTGTGAGATATTTCTTCACCACAAATTCCCAGGACCAACGTTTTTGCTGTTGTGTGGTGACAGGTGGGGATGAATTTACGAACAGGAGCAGGGAGAGCAGGCGCTGAGGTGGATTCCCAGGGAAGAAACACCCAACAACCAACCCTGCCCATGGTTAGGAGTGCTCAGGGAAGTATCTTTTCAGCACACAATTTTTTTTTGACGAAAACCCCGCCCACCCTCTTTCATGTGTAGCAGCTCTGAGCCAAGTGCCACCTTCCGTCTTCCCAGCCCTCAAGGGACTTCGCTGCTTTTATTTCTCTGAGGCTTCTACAGAGCTCGACACAAAAGAGCGCAGCCCCCTTTTCCGGGCACCTGCGTTTTAGTTTCCCAGGGAAGCAGCATGGGGAAGTTGTGCACGTGCTTTACTGGAGAGGAACAGCCCCAGCCGCGGAGGCTGCGAGGTGTGGACAGGTCTGCTCCTCTTGGCAGCTCCCCCCAGCACAGCAGCTGCAGCACGCTCCTTTTTCAGGCTTCACACACATCAGTTAGCTTGATGCTTGATAAACACTCCTTACAAGTATAATTCCAGTGATTTTTTTCCACAATGTATAGGATTTGCCGAAATATTTCACTTAAGAAAGTTGTGCCACACATATTGAGGTTACGCAAGGCCCTGACCACGGAACGAAGCATCATGAAATGTTTAATTTCTGTCAGGATCCCCAGCAGCAGGACTGGCCCAGCATGCAGCTCACCCTAAGCGCAGCGAGGGCAAGGAGCGCCGCGCACACCTGACCGTCGCCGCAGCCTATACCATGACCCGAACGTCGCAACGCGCAACACGCCAACAACGCCGCAACGCCCCCGTCCCACAGCCAGCTTCGATTCGCGCAAAGACTTAAAGCGCTAATTCAAGAAATCAGAGAGTCAAATGTCACTCATATTTCAGAATCTAAAGGCTTACTTGTTCTGGAAAGCATTCGCCCTCTTCCACTGCCATTTTCTGTGCCCAAGTCTGAAACCTGGTGACTCAATTAGTTAACACTTTGGACACTGCGCCATTGCTAAGAATAGCAGCCTCCGGAAGTGCCGGTTGGATTTTCCCCTAAAGAACGAAGCACAGGCACTTGTTAGACTTCCCCTGGCTGTTTAAATGGCAAAGGACAGGCGATTGTAAGACTGTTAAGTTAGTAACAGAGCGTGTCCCAGGGTTCCCGGCTGGCTTACCGTATTTGCAGCCTCCAATCATTCCCGGCGTGTGTAATCGTGATCTGTAGCATACCCAAAATAGCTGCCGCATCAGCTGATTAGCAAGCCACCGCTGCTTGGACTCCCTCATGAAACAGGCTTTTGTCATTGTGCTTATCAGCTCTTTCCAATGCAGACTACTTTCAGCTATTTCTAAAGGCAACAATAACACCATTTTACACTCCGTGTGCTCTGAATGCCATGTATGCCTGCCTCCTACTCCAGGGCAACTTTATATTTATTCAGATTTTCTGATGACTAATTATGATAGATTTATGCCTTTGGTTCTGGAGGCAATTTGTCTGAACTGAAGGGCTGGTCTCTAAATACTTGAAGTTCCTAAATGAAAGACATTAAGAGCTGCACCAAAAGCAAAATGCTTTTGCTACAGAGAGGAATGCAGAGAAAGGTTCATGCTTCCAGCAAAGCAAACCTCTTCCTCTGCAATTAAAACTCCTCTAAAAGCTGGTCTTTTCCACAGGCTTCCCTGCAGCTACTTAGGGTAGCAGGAGTGTTCCTGCGAGTATTCAGCTGCTGAGGAAGGGGAAAGCTCCGTGTCTTCAGTTCATCACTACGAACCTGCCGTGCCGCAGCGTGTGCCCCTGTGCTCAGATCCGCGCTTCTCGGCTCACATCTCACACACTCCGACAACAGAGCAGCGGAGGGATAAAATTGAAATAGAAAAAACAAAAAAAAAACCCAAAACCACAACCAAACTCAGTAATATTTGTGTCAAGCAAGCAAGATATAGTTGGTGTTTTCAAAAAACATTTGTCCATGTTTCCACTGATCGGATCTCAGCCATTGGATAGTAACTCTGTGCTCTTGTGTTTTACTGCAATTTTTTTTGCTGATCTAAGCAATGTCTTTCAGCAG